TTAACATTACAACTACTAATAAAGCTGGGAATGGATCTACTAGTAACATAACTGTTGGATTTCAATCAACAAGTAAGTAATTATACTTATTGAGAGCCTAAAGTGATTATTCTATACAGTAGATGTACAGTTATATGTAACTGATAAAGAAAGAGGGAATGTAAATTGGACTTTTCATTTGATTGTATCTGTAAGTTCGCTAATAGGATTAATCATAGCCAGCTATGATAACTTTATAGTAATAGTGAATAGTAGTGTTAAATGATGATAGACAGACTATAGTATTATAATGTATTATAGGTAATGTGTAATAAATGTACCATGTATTATAATGTATAGTCTATATCCCATGGTGTGTTTACTGTGTTGTGATTACTTGCTTAAAACAACATGGCTATGTATTTTTTGTAGGTTCATCAGTTTTGTACTAATGCACCACCACTAATGGACATTACATTGAAAGGATGTACTAAGGATAACTGTTATTCAACAACAAATGTATCCATAAGCAATAGTTCTTATAATAACATTTCACTTGTTGTTCAATTTCCATCAAATAAGACACTGAAAACTAATGCTACCTTGTACTATCAAAATGGAGTTACAGTTCAAAGCAAGACTATAACAATCAGTAAGTAATACACAATTAATACATTATGATATTTACTTATTTTAAGGTACTCATGACCTGAACTTGGCATTGATTAATGTTACATCAAATTCTGTTTGTGTTCAGTTTCAGTTTGTCAATGGCAGTACACTTTATATTAATTACATTCACATTATTGATAGTCAAGGCCAGTTTCATTGGGATGACCTCAAACCTTTTAATGATTCATTGAACTTTATTAAGTGTTTTGATGGCATACCAGCTGGTAATAACTTAACACTGCATGCATGTGAATTCGAAACCTTTTTCAATAACTGTATATCTAATCCTCCTGCTGTAATAACTGGTATTAATATTACTAGTGACTCTACATCTTCAGTTTTATTGTCATCAGTTCATTCATCATCAGTATCACTCACATCAGCAGCATCGACTACTCCATCAATGATGTCTGTACCATCTA